TGGGAAAAGAAGGAAGAAAGGGGGTTGTTTGGAGAGATGGTGTTTGTCTTTTCCAGTCACTGTTCTGTGTGGTGGGGCCCTGCTCTTCTGGGGAGGTCTGAACACCTGCCTGTCCATGGGAAGTGCAGAATCAGTTCCTTGTTTTGCCTTGTTAGTGTGCACAGCTATTGCTTTCCCTACTAAACTTCTTAGTCTAACCCATGAGTTTTCCCACTTTCCCCGTTTTGATTCTCTCCTCAATCCATCCAGGAGGGAGTGAGCTCCAGCCTGTGGGGCTGAGTTTCTGCCTGGGGTTAAACCACAACCTACTGGTATCAGATCCAATCATAAAGGGTCCCAGGTGTGACGCAGGAGCAGGTTTCCAGATTATTTGGACTGAGCTGGATGGGACAATGCTACTTTAGGCTAGCTGAGGAACTGGCCCTTGAAATTCCTCTTAGAAGAGTGGCAGCTTTTGACTTTTGCTCCTGCTAAATGCCATGGAGATATCCTGCACAAACCAGATAGAGGGGGAGCTGGGAAAGGATGTTCTAGGGAAAGCAAGGAAAGGTATTGCCTTCATCTAAATTTGTTGGCTGGAATTACAAGGACTCAGTTTAAAGGAATACCTTTAAGCAGTTCTTGCCTAGTACAAGTTAGCACCAATTTGAGAAGAAAGGCTGCTCAGATCCACTATCAGAAAAACTGCCTGAAACAGAGCCTCCAAAGAGCAACTCATTTTTTAAAAATAAAAAGAAGAGAGGAAGCTCAGACCAAAAACCCTTGCTTGATTCTGGTTTTGCAGATGCTGACATTATAACTAGAAAACCATTTTGAATGTTCAGATTAAAGTCTGCAGAGTATGGAAGGATTTTGTGTTGTGCTGATTGTTTTAAGGTTCAGTAAAGACAGTCATATTYTGCAAAAAGCAATACTGGAAGGGCAGGACATTGTTTATGGCACATGCTAACAGTCTCTGTCATACAAGTATGTATTTACTAGCACAGGGAATCTGGGTTCAAGAAAGCCTAATTTTAGTGTGCAGGGMAGGTCTATCTTACATGCCACCACTGRSTTTTTTTGAAGTGATGATAGCCTTSAAYTGCTGTMTAAATCCAATTGAGAAAGTCAATTAATTCAATTTGCTTCTCTCTCTGCCAGACGGAAGGTTTCAGGTTCCCCAGGCCTTCATCAGTGCCACCATCGCCTTCTGCCTCTCAGCATTCCAGTCCTCACCACAGTGAAGCTGAGGATGAAGATGAGGATGAGAGATATGACGAGGATGAGGAAGCTGAAAGGGATAGGCAGAATATCAAGTCCCCCTTTACCCTTGGAGCCTTGCCACAAGGAAAAAAGAAGCAGCATGGAGAATACAGGAACTGAACTTGTTGCTCTTACCCGGCACGGTCTCCCCATCCACTCAACAGTTTCTCCTGTAGGCTTGGCAAGCTTTGTRTTATGGACAGTGTGATATAATTAGGGGAACCTTAAATGTTACTTGAGCTAACTGTTGGAAAACCTAATATTATTTCATTTTGAAAGTAGTTTAAATGACACTTTTTCTGTGCCCCTTTGAGGTAGAAGAGATTTTTCAAGCCTAATAAAACTAGAGAATGAGACAATCCCCTCAGGAACTTAYACAAACTGCAGATCCTATATCTACGGAATCATCTATATTAATCATAGTCTACACGAATAGCTACATTTTGGGTATCCCAAATGAATTCCTGCTTCATTTAYGTTTCCCTTTTTCCCCTCCTAAACTAACATGAACTTTAAACCAGAGCTCAAAAAATTTGAAAAATAAGTGTTACAGCGGAGAAATATTGAAAGATATAAAAAAACATACACTGAAAGGAAAATGGTCTTTCTTTTTCCTGATGCTGTTTATTGTAAGTTTACATAATTTAAACATTGTTTTACAGCACACAGAAGTGTCTTGATCCAGTGGTAAAACATACTTCCTGTGGAACAATATAAAGTCTTATGCAGTGAGCATTTGAATTTTAAAGACAAATGAAGTCATCTTTCTGAGGTCATTTAGACCCACAATAAAAAGCAGACCGTTTATTTTCTGATTCCTCCAGTATGTCTCTTTTATTTTCATCTTGCTGCAGATTCTAAGTTTGTTAACTGGTTTGGAGGGAAATGGATGTGACTTGGCTAAAGTGAATGACAAAATTGCCTTTAGTAACACCTTCCCCTGCAGACAAACCTACATGCCAAGAGCAGTGTGACACCATTCAAAGATCTGTACTTTCCATTAGTCCATGCTCTATTTCACTTCTAAAAAAATTACAGGTATTAATTTGAAAAGCACCTGAGACTTCAAAATGCTTGGGGAATAACTGGACCTCACAATAAGAACTAGATATTTAATTTGTCTTACAAAAAGCTTTCATAAATATTTCAGTTCCTGGAGATGCAGAGAGTGCCTGAGCAGGCTCTTCAGAAGCACATCTTGACCTGAAGATATTAGGAAGGAGATCAGTCTTTTGTTTTGGAAGTTTGTGCATCAAAAAATTCTCATGCTGCTCAAGAAAAGAYATTTCCAGGAATTTATTCAGCCTGTCTTTCAGCAGGTAGGACAAYGTAAGCTTTGGAGGTATTTACCTTCCTTATAAGTCCCAGGGGAAGCCTAGATGTCCAACTTTGGTTAGGCTCCTACCTTTCAAACRCTTCACCAAAGCTTGATGACATGGTTCTTACTACCACGTCATTTAGAATAGAAGTGACTGTGCATTTTTGTATTTTTGGCCACTTAAAATCAGTTTTAAAACTGGACTTTTATTCTTAAGCTGATTTGGACTCTTGAAAGAACAACTATTCTCAGAGGTCRGGTTCAGGCTTCTATGGCAAAAACCTACTTGGTATTAAAAGGAGTCACTATTTTTTTAACAACTTTWAAAGTAAGTAAATCAGTGAGTAATTTTTCATATAAAAGGGGTGGAATCAAAGATACTATAATTATTTTCCTTCTTACAGTTTACTAACTGGAGAACAGCTGCATATTTTGTTTCTTCACAAAGAGCTCTCAATCAGAGTTTCCTTGCAGAGTCAAAGGATGTAATGGCTGGGAGTCCCAAAGAAAAAACAYTTAAAGGACATATGGATTGAAAGTTATCATTTTCATAAAGAAAAAAATTGAGARGTCTGTATTTATGGCTTGTATTTCAAAGCTCAGTCGCAGAGCAGGAAAACTGTGTGTGTTTCAGCACACTCACATGCCTTGAGCACCCTCCTGGTGTTAGAGAGTGCTTAGCTTTTGAGATAGGTCTAATCTGAATACTTTCTCCATTTTTCTCAGGTTCAGGTCCTGCAGTGGCCAAAGTGACCTCTGACCCAGGCATTGGGGCTTATGTTAGCTCTGCTTTGAGTTAGCTATTAGTAACAAGGCAATTTATCTACAGCAAAACACTTCTATTGAATTTATAGCATCAGGGAATGGCTTTTCATTCAGCCCTGGTGACAGATTGCCTAAATTAAATGCCACACATTCCCAGCAGTTACTGACACCTGACAAGCTTGGTAACAGCTATCTGTTACATAAGGGATAATCTTCCAGATGGAARATACTGGGGTTTCACAAACAGCTCACCAGAGAGGCAGAAGGTTTATTCTGTTYCGTGATATTTGTGAAGAATTGTTTAAGCTTGAGAACTTAAATCAGGAACACACACAAAAATCAGTCAGCTGGGAATAGGATGAGTATAGTTTTTGTATCACAGGCATATAAATTTCAAGATGCTTATAAACTAAAGGATGTATAACCCCTCTACTTTACACTTTTCTAGTGGAAGGTGTCCTTGCTCATGTCAGGCCATTTGGAACTAGATGATGTTTTAGGTCTCTTCCAAGCCAGGGCATTCTATGATTCTATTCTCTGATTTTCAGTTCAGTTCACATTCAAATTCATCCTGAATGAGTTCTGTCATACAACATACACTGCTGTTGAAAGACATATTAATTCTTAAAAATTAACAAAGTAGAACACTTTAATTTCTCCAGTTATGTTCCTCCATGAAGTGATACAGATTAAAACCAATTACTGAAAGTGCCTCTAAGCCCATGACAGAATTTAATTCCTCTCTTCCTTCAGCTCTGTTTCTTTGTGTTGAGGAGAAGCAACATTTTAGTTAGCATGAGTTTAATTAATTAGCAGCGTTATGAGAAAGATCAGAGGAAGTTAGCATTAGAAGATGAAGACCATGACTAGGGTAGAAGGTTAAAAAATAAAACATAGTTGCTTGGACACAGAAATCATGTGGCTACTTTTTAATTACATCAGAACTACAGAGGGCTTTTCAGTAAGGCCGCAGAAATACATAAATAATGGTAGATACATCCTTATCAGCACAGAATGATAATTAACAGATTTATGTCTAATTCCAATTCTGCAACTCAGAAAGAAAGAACAAAAAAGTACAATCACAGTGCAGTCATTAATGAGGCCCCAATAATGCAAGACCCGTCCCCAAACTGTCATTACATGRTGGGACTTGTGCAGTAGGATTATTCAGAATATTTCTGCATGAGTGAACTGGGTCAATAAATGCTGCTGCCTGTTCTCTGTGGTGACTGGTATCTGGCAAAGAAAAATATCACCAGCTTTGCAGTCACAGATAGCTGGATTTTTTTAATACGTAACTGAATTTATTCACCATTTGCAGCTTACAGCACCACCAGTGAAGCGGTGAAGGAATCTGTCTTTATAAGAGTTTRAAAGGCTTCAATATACAGTTGGGTGGAAAGTGTTAAAAGGCTTCCTAATGACAATCAAAAAACTTTTTATAATGAAATGGTTGTCCAAAAAATTTTTATCATCTTTTCAGGTAAGATGGTRCCATGTATTTTAAATTTTGGATGGYACATACARGATGCTCTAAAAAAAGCAGGAACTATATAGATGTTTTCCTTGTCTGAACTGGTGTCTTTTAATCCCTTTGTATTCAAAATTTTGCAGCATGAATACACCTCACCCTTTGGAACTTCAGTGATGATGGATGAAACACTTTACTCGCACAGGTTATGCTTTCAGGCTCAATGCTGTACAAATGTTAAAGCTGTTTTAAATCATTTCACCAATTTAATAGATCGTCTGCCAAGTAGCCAGGGTGATCAATGTTTTCTTCTTCCACTGTAAGACAAGACAAAATGGGGAAAAATAAGTTGTAGATAAAGGAAAGTTCAGATAGCCAAAGTTTTCAGGACACAAMTGTGCCTCAGGCACAGACCTAATGCAGTGTGACCACTCAGCTAAGAGAGGCAGCACCTCTAGAAATAATCATGTCTTCTGTCAGCTTCAAATGTAGGATTTTTCTGTTTGCTGAAGAACAAAGATACAAACCATATCCAGAGGGGTGTGTTAGTAYATGGCAAAATATTTTCATGCTAAAGAAAATAGTGGATTTGTTCTTCATTTGCATATTGCCCTTAGTCAAATCTAAAGTCAGCTGATCTGAAACTGCATGGCTTACCCAGCTGTAATTTTGTTTATTCCCTCCTACACTGATGGAAATTTTATTCCACATAGTATTTTCCAAACAAGCTGCCAGTTCTGTTTATTTCTCTCAGATATTACACCTTTTTTTTCTCAGTTGTCCACCATCTCCTCTGCTACAGCAACAGCAGGCAGGAAAATACCATTAAAATTTGTAAAAGTCCATCTTCAGTGGATTTTGTGAGCATACAAGTGCCACTTTCACTGATTTAACCTTAGAGCTGCTCATRTATTTTGTCCCATTCACTGTGCTCACTTTTAATTCTGTCTTTCTCTCTTCAAAATGCCACTGATTTTTTTTTGTTCAAAGTTCTGCCAGGGCAAGGAAGAGAGAGCTGAGTGCAGAGTCCCAGCTCCATTTACAAAATTTWAAAAAATAAAATAGTCTATGTAGCTGAAGAGCTGAAAAGTTTAAGGACAGAGGACATGGAAAGCAAAGGTTTAAGATCTCAGCCTGGTGGTGTGAATCCATCAGCTCCTCTCCTGTGGCTCTTAYGGATTCTTTTAAACTTTTGCACCATATCCAGTGAAGGAGTAAAAATTTCACAGGCAAACAATATTCTATAGAAAAAGGAACCCCACTAAATATTGGATTTGGAAAACTCAATTTAAAAAATAGCCATTCCCTTGAATCCAAAGCAAAACAGTAAAACATCTGGAAAGAAAATTAAAAGCAGAATACACGTATATTTACCTGCTATAATTTTGTGACTAATGTTCTAATCTTTGTAAATATACACTCTAGACCTTTTAGATTAATTTGTTAAATCATCAGTACACGAAATACTGAAAAACCATTTTAAAAATAAGTCTGAGTAAGATAAAATGTGCATTTACCTTCTTCTTGTGCTTTCTGTAAGGAACTAAGGAACAGTGCAGCAGCTTCAGAAAGAGATAAGGGATTTATGTTTTGGCTACGTGTTTCTAGAAATAAAAAATCAGAGATGCATGGTTTAGTAGTGTCTGACAGCATTTCTTTACTTTGTTCCTTTKTTTATTATTATTTCTATAACTAGAGACCCAAACAGAAGAAAGTTCTAGAACATTTGCTGCTCAAAATCAGCCCAATAAATACCACAGGAGAGATAAGCAATCTTTTAAAAAGGGAAGTTGTTTCAAAGTCCTTTACAAGGTAAAAAGAACATTTTCCTGTTTTGTATGTTCCTTACTTTTTTTACAACATTCTGTTCCCTCCAGAAACATTGTCTAGAGTGGATTGATGTTGTYTTCTTCTGTTACTTGTCAGTTCAGCACAATTAATAACTTGCTTTGATTTTTTCCAGTGCAAAGGGGAAGTCAAAAACACTGATGAAAATCCCACTTAACAGCCAGGTCAGTCTGGAAATTATGTAAATGAAATCACACAGGTGCACCAGAGAGGAAAGTCAATACTTGTCATGTGCTGGTTAGAATTAAGTGACTAAAAAATGGGATTTAGTTGTTTCCTTGACTCTGATTCCAGGAAAACAAATCCCCTCCCTTTTCCACGGATTTCTCCCATGATCTGGGGGAAAGTGCATGGGCTCCACAGCCCTGTGCTCACGGACTCACCAAGCTGCACTCTGTCATACAGGTCCTTCCTCTGGCTCTCATCTGAGATGAAGCGACGTCCCTCTGCAAAAACAGTGGGAAAAGAGTGGAAACAATCTCCAAATTTCTTGTAATTCCTATTTAGTAATCCTTAAAGGATTCTTCAATTTTCTATATGGTCAAGAGCCTTCAAGCTCTTTG